CATCCCCCTCCCCACTACGTGGCATTACGTTCGCTAATATTGCGACGTATTCATTTCATATGTTCGATAATGTGTTTTAATGTCGAATTTGAATGGCATAGAGTATAATCGCTCTACAAACAGGACATTCAGTTCGATTTTTGCTACAGTACGTACACGATAATGTATGTCGGCAAAGTAAAACAGAACGTTTCGTTCATATTCGTAACATATGATACACTCGTGTTTACACTCTTTGAGTTTCTGCTGAGATCGAAATGTCGGTGTCGACGGCGTCAGCGCATCGCCGTCAAAGATTCGTTCGCATTTATACGACTGCCTGACTGACTCTGTTTGTTCGATTACTAAAAATAAGTTTTCATGAATCGCGGCATGGTCCGTATGACGTAGCACATTCAACAATAGAGTAGCTCGGTTACAGAGATTTTCTATTTGCACGACTGAATTTGAAGTGTTGCAAGACATACGCTCAAAGCTTTCGATCAATTTCGTATACTCTTTTACGTCGCGCTGCGTGGTTAGAAGCAGATCGTTCATACGATCCGAAAGAGCTGTAACACCAAGAGTGTCATTTGTGCCAATCGAACGAGTAGCCGCCGGTATGTAACCATTAACATTCGATCAACTACGCACTCATCGAAGTCGCGTTGTCGTCGCCGATGATCGTATGCAACAGATCGCCGCATATTGAGGCATTCGTTCTCGTCCACGTTGGAACGCTTTTGAACGCTCTCGCCTATGCTGATGATGGTACACTCGTTCTTCTCCATGCCAAGAATGTCATTGATATCATCACCATTATCACCATGATCGAACCTTAACGGTCTTCTCGGTGCCGGGATCGGAGAAGCAGCTTTCTCTGATTCGGGCTCAGCAGTACCTTCGTTGAGAAAATGAATGTGGGATACAACTTTGGCTCAGGAACATTCTCGACTCTAGTACAAATGTTCCCTCCACGGATCAAATGTGTCATTCGTTATGGTCACATCGTCACTGCTATGCCAATTCTTCAATACAAGTCCGCACATGTAGCACGTCATCAAATCGGAGACACCTGTGTAAAAGAAACCGACCCACGCTAAATCTCGATGATGCCGTCGCCATGGCAATGCGTCGCGTAACCATTGATCAAAACTGGCCAATCGTTGTTCGAAAGAATCAAATTGCACATATGAGGGTGGTCCGAGTAAGTACTTAGCCTACAAAAGAAAAACGAAAATTTTGGAAAAGTGGCGATTTATTTTTCAACACAGTCTCCTTTTAGCTCGATACATTTGACCCAGCGATGCTCCAACTTCTTTAACCCGTCTGAAAAATACGTTTTCTCGAGGTCTGCAAAATAGGCCCCCGTGGCGGCGATGACCTCCTCATTCGACTCAAATTTCTGCCCGGCGAGTGACTTTTTCAAGTTTGGAAACAAAAAGAAGTCGCACGCGGTCAAATCTGGAGAATACGGTGGATGGGGCAGCAGTTCGTAGCCCAATTCGACCAATTTGACCGTGGCGAGGGCGGAGGTGTGAGCCGGTGCGTTGTCATGGTGGAGGAACACTTTTTCCTTCGCCAAATGGGGCCATTTTTTCTGCAATTCGGCGTCGAATCGGCCCAATAATTCGGTATAGTACACCTGTGACCGTTTTGCCCTTCTCCAGGTAGTCGATATAGATCACACCTTGTGAATCCCAGAAAACGGTGGCCACCACTTTCCGGCCGATAGGACAGTCTTCGCCTTCTTCGGAGCACGTTCGCCGGGTGAAGTCCACTGTTTCGATTGTTCCTTGGTCTCTGGTGTGTACCAGTGGATCCATGTTTCGTCGGCGGTCACGAAACGACGCAGAAACTCCTTCGGACTGCGCTTAAACAGCGTTAAACACTGCTCTGAAGTGGTCTCACGGTTGCGCTTGTTGTTCGGAGTGAGCAAACGCGGCACCCATCGCGCCGACAGCTTTCTCATGCCCAAAATTTCATGCAGGATATGACCCACGCGGTCTTTTGAGATGCCTACTGTCTCAGCTATTTCGCGCACCTTCAATCGGCGGTCTGCCAATACGAGATCGTGGATTTTTGTCATGTTATCCTCCGTGGTAGCCGTTTTCGGGGCACCTGGGCGTGGCTCATCAAAAACCGACGTGCGACCACATTGAAACTCGTTAAACCAATTTTTGACGGTCGCCATCGAAGGAGAAGAGTCACCGTACACAGCATCCAAGCGCTCTTTGATTTCGCTGCGCGATTTCCCTTTCAAAAACAAGAATCAAGTCACCGACCGATATTGCTCTTTTTCCATTTTTCTAAAATCCGCGGACACGCCCGCTTCCACACGCGGTCAAAACAAAACTACGAGTCCGATTCGGCTAAAATTTCGACAGTAGCCGTCTACGAGAATGTACTACACGATAGTAAATTTCTCTTGCGATAGTGGCGCCATCGGGCGGTGAGGCTAAGTACTTATCGGACCGCCCTCGTATACAGGGTGCATGATTTATCTGAAGACATTGAAATATCTCGAGAACTATGCATTGGATAAAAAAAAGTGGTTAATGAAAGTTGTTAATCTCGAAGGGGGACATCCAATGATACCAAACTCGACCTCCCACCCCACCCCCTGGGGGTGGGGATTGGGGGCAACTTTGAAATCTTAAATGGAAACCTCCATTTTTTATTGCAGATACGGATTCTACGCTACAAAATACGTAAATTTTGTCGGAAAATTTTTTCTTATTCGTGATAGATGGCGCTGTAATCGCAAAAAATTATATTTTCCGCAATTCTCCAGAAATGATCACGGGAAGTATTAGACCGTGATTACAATGGTCGGTGGATTGGCAGAGGTAACCCGATTAATTGGCCTGCTAGGTCGCCTGATTTGACATCGCCGGATTTCTTTCTGTGGGTTACCTAAAAGATAAGGTTTATCAACAAGTGCCAACAACTCGTGAAAACATGGTTAAACGCATAAGAAACGCTTGCGCTGAAACTCCCGCAGATCTGCTTCTACCCTGTGTACAGTCATTTGAAAAAAGATCAATAAATGTATTGAAGTTGAAGGTAAAAATTTCTAACACTTACTCTAATTAATTGAACAGTGAGAGGCAAGGGGACTCACATTAAAAAAGCACCCCGATCTGTGAGAGGCAAGGGGACTTACATTAAAAAAGCATCCGAAGAGAACATAAAACTACTACGTCCTCGTTGTTGTTCCTGTGTAACGCTAAAAGTAGTTTCTCGGAAAAATTCAACGCTATCTATCACGAATGAAAAAAATTGTTTCAATAAAAATTTCACGTACAATCTAATTCTGCAATGAAAAATGTGGGTCCCCATTTGAGATTTGAACGTTATCACCCACCCTACCCCGAGAGGATGGGGGGAATAACTTTTATTGTGTTCTTTAAAAATATTGAACAGATATTTTTCATTTCTCAATCCAATGATCCTTTCTGGAGAATTGCGGAAAATATAATTTTTTGCGATTACAGCTCCATCTATCACGAATAAGAAAAAATTTTCCGACAAAATTTACGTATTTTGTGGCGTAGAATCCGTATCTGCAATAAAAATGGAGGTTTCCATTTAATATTTCAAAGTTGCCCCCAACCCCCTTCTCAGGGGGTGGGGTGGGAGGTCGAGTTTGGTATCATTGGATGTCCCCCTTCGAGACTAACAACTTTCATTAACCACTTCTTTTTATCCAATGTATAGTTCTCAAGACATTTCAATGTCTTCAGATAAATCGTACACCCTGTATAGGCTGCCCTAACTGTACGCTCGATGTAAATTCTCGCTGCACATTGCCTTGTATCGTCGTCGGGGACGGCCTTGTTTCGTCCTCTTCGCTGTGACGGAAAACGTTGTTGTCGCTCGCTGTGACGAAACGACGACGCGGTGTCGTTGACGCCATGCCGCACTGCTCCTTCTATTCTTTGGGTGACGGACGCAATAAAAAATATCGGCAAATTAGCAATAATTATTCGGCGATGTCGAGTTTCTTCTTATTGCTACATGATAACACGACTCCCTTCTTTAGAAAGAGATTAAATGTGATTGCCTAAGCGTCACATTGTCGCGCCGAACAGATGCTACCAAGTTGAGGCGTTTCAGTCAAGATTTCACATTGGCCGTTGTAAAAACTTGGGTTTATATACTCCTAATCTAATCATAACCTAACCTAACCTTTTTTTTACGAATAGGAAATCCATCATGGATACCCCCTTTTTTTTTTGACGAGGAGGAAATCCATCATGGATACCCTGACCCTCGGGGAAAGGCCAGGGTTATGCCGGACTCCTACCGGCTAAAACCCCCCGGGTGGCGCTGCGAAGGGTCGGGGCCCCGGTGCCATGTAACTGCAATCGGGGCTCCAAGTCCGGGTGTTGCACCTTTTGTCCCTGCGGGGTGGGGTGGGGGATGGGAGAAGCCAACCCGAAGGTCCGCTTCAACCACCGCTCCCCCAGGGGAAGGAGGAAGCCGGCCGAAGCTCGCTTCAACAACCATTCCTGACCAGACGAGGCGCCGCCAATGCATGTTGTGTGGCTGACTGACCCACCGTATCAGCCAGCCACCCTACGTTGGGAGGGCTGGTTGGGGCACCGGGAGTCCCCGCCCGGTACCCCACCCTCCCGCCCCTTTCTGAGGGGAGTCGGTGGCCTGCGGGTGTGGGGCCTGGACCTGAGCCGTGCCCCCCACCCGCTACCATCTCCCGTCGCTGCCATTGGAGGGGCAGCATGGGGTGGCGGTGGCGGCGGCGCTATAGCCACCCCCACTGCAGGGGGGCGGTCAGCATTGCTGCCGGGGCGAGTCGTTGCAACACCACCACCGCCTCCCCTCTGTTTCCATTCATCGACTGTCTTCTTCTTCGTATTCCGCAGGGAGCACCGTGCCCCCTACAGGTTCTTCCTCTTGCTAGTGCCGGGGGGGAGTAGGAGGGGGAGGGGGGAGGAGAAGGTGGTTGACCCACCATCCTCCTAAGCTTGTCCTCCTCTGACGAGTCGGCGTCCACCTCTCTACTCCTGCTCCTCCCTCTCCTCCATTGGCGGTGCCTCTCGCGCCGCCTTCTTTTCCTTCCCCGGATTCTCTGCCCTTCTTCGCAATTCTTCCGCCTCCTTCTTCTGCGTCATCACTGATTCGCAGAAGGAGGAGAATGCGTCCCATCTTTTCTCGCTCCCGAGGATTGCCCCAACTATCCTCGGGAGCGAGAGGTCTTGGCCCAAAGCCCGGACCATGACTCCGCGCTCGGCACTCCAGGCGGGGCAGTCCTGGAGTGTATGTTGCGCGGAGTCATGGTCATGTCCACAATGGTGGCAGGAAGTTGTGCGTTCCTTCCCTATACGGCACAGGTAATCACCGAAGCATCCATGCCCGGTGAGCACCTGTGCCATTCTGAATGTCAGGGTTCCGTCGGCCCTTCCCACCCATTCTTGCAGGAAGGGCCGGACGGCCTCGACAGTCCTCCTCCTATACCTGGCGTTGGCCAGAAGTCTTTGCCATCTTTCGAGGAGGACTTGTCGAGTCTGGTGCTTCATCCCACGTATGGCCCTAGCGAGCGGTTCTCCGTCCCCCCCTGTACGAATGAGCTCACGCTTCCTGTCGTACATGCGTTTGTACGACCATGTAGGGCCATGAGCTCCAGGGGGGCATGCTCGCCAGGAACGTCGCCGCCACGCAGGACACAGTACGGTAGCACAGCGCTACCCTGACCGCCAGCACCCTCTGCACTCTGCGCATTTGCGCTTGCATCGGGCGACTGGCAGCCAGGGCCTCCGCCCAAACTGGTGCCCCGTACAGCGCCACGGAATTTAGTACTCCTGCATGGAGGCGACGAGCCTTCTCATCTGGTCTCCCGACGTTGGGCATAAGCCTGCCCAGTCTGGCGGATATCACCCGTAGTCGGGAGACCAGCCTATTAACGTGTTCCCTGAAGCACCAGGTGCCGTCCAATTTGAGGCCCAGATAATTCATCTGGGCCTCCAACGGAACCCTGACTGTACCCACCCGCACCCAGGCTTGGCGTGGCTTCCTTCCTTTGTTATGAAAGAAGATGGCTTCCGTTTTTCTTTCAGCCACCACCAAGCCCAGGTTGCGGATGGCACGCACAACTCCTGCCACCGCGATATTGGCCGTGTTTACGGCATCCCCCCAGTCATTCCCCCCCGCCAGGATCAAAGTATCGTCTGCATAGCACACGATACTACAGCCGGGGGGAGGGCTGTCCAGAGGACTGAGTTATATCCGAGGTTCCACAGTAATGGGCTCAAGACTGAGCCCTGTGGAGCCCCGCAACTCATTCCCCTCTCGCGCACCTTGCCGTCGGCGTCCGTCCACGTGAGACGCCGACCCCGGAAGTAGTCCTCGATAACGGCCACGAGGTAGAGTGGGAAGCGGAAGTAGTTCCGCATTGCCTGCACCACCCTACCCCAGGGCAGGGTTGAATGCGTTGGCGATATCTAAAGATATTGCCACCGCCACCCCGCCCTCCATCACGATGGCCTCCGAGAGGGATCTCAGATGCTTTATCGCATCTACAGTAGATCTCCCCTCCCGGAAGCCATATTAACCGTCATCGAGGTTGGGACCTTCCCGGGACATATGCCTCTGGAGGCGGGCAGCTATAACTCTCTCAAAGAGTTTGCCCGCCTCGTCTAGGAGGCATATGGGTCGGTACTCGGAGGGGGAGTCCTCCGGTTTGTCCTCTTTTTGGAAGAGGACCACATTGGCCCTCCCCCAGACTGGGGGGAACCTTCTCTCCCTAAGGGCTCGCGTGAACAAATCGGCGAATCTTCCGTTCATATGAGGCCAGGGTAAGGACGCGGCCGGGGATGCCATCCGGTCCGGGAGCTTTCCGGCTCTTGACCTTTTTGACACCCTCGGCTACCTCCTCCTCCGTGACCCCCAGTACCTCCCCCTGTTGTGCGGGGGATGGTGGGATGTATAGGGTGATGGGGTTACCCTCCCCAACTGGGAAAAGGGTTCCCATCACCCTCTCCAGGAACCGAGGGTCAAGCGTCACCGTTTTAGGGGGCGTCCATGGTCTCAGCTTCTGCATAACCATTCTATATGGACGTCCCCACGGATCAGCGTCTAGTGAGAGGAGGAGGTCGTCCCACCCTCTTCCTCTGGCCGCCCCAATGGTTTCTCTTAATTCCAAAGCCGCTTTGCTAAATTCCTTCCGGGCGGCCAGAGTGGCCTCAGGGTTCGGGATTCGATTGTTCCGCTCCCTTCGAAACGTCCGCCTGGCGTGGACCGATCTGCGCCATAACGCGGCTATCTCGTCGGACCACTACCAGGCGGATCACTTCGGGCAGGACCTGACTCTGGGCATGGAGGCATCGCACGCCTGTGCGAGTATGTCCATAACCTCCATGACCTCAGAGTCAAGGTCATGCCCCTCCTTTCGTCGTGGCCAGGTGGAGCCCTCCAAAGAGATCTCTAGGATCTCTTTATTTAACTGAGTCAGTGATCATCTTCCAGGTCGGGGTTCCTTCCTTTGATCTGGCCGCAGGCCATTGAGGGTGACGGACAGTTCCATCTCTATCATGAGATGATCCGACAAAGTGTCAATCTCGTCCGCCACCCTCCAGGTCCGCACCCTCCTCAGGGCAGCAGGGGTTGCCCACGATAAGTCAATGATTGACTTCCCCTGCTGCCCCACGAATGTGGGTTTATTACCTTCATTGAGAATGTGCAGACCAGGCCCGCGGCCCAATCTATGGTTTCCTCCCCCCTCCTGATCGCGCTGGGATCCCCATAGTTCCGATTTCGCGTTGAAATCCCCAGCAACGATGACAGGACCCTGAAGATACTGTTGTATGGTATCTCCTATCTCTTGGAGCCTGGACCTGTATTCAATCAGGTCCAGGCTCTTTGCTGGAGGGAGATATACCCCGGCCACAATGATCACTCCCCACCTGACCACGACGTATCCCCGGCCACAACTTATGAATTTTGCCTGGGGTGAGCTCTCGCTCGCCTTCCATATGATAGCGACAGAGCCCCTGTCGTCCCCAAACCACCTTGGGTGGTTCCTGGGAACGTAATGGGGCTCTGCCGCTATCCCTAACCCCACACCGCGCTCCTCCATCAAATGCTCAAATAATGGTTGGGCTTGGCGGGCGCGGTGTAGGTTCGCTTGTAGTAGCCTGGTGGTCATTATTGGTTGGTCGGATTGATAATGATCTTACCGCCAGGCTGCTCCCTCTCATCGCTCTCTGCGTTCTCCACTGGACGTGGACGCTTCTCCCCTCTTTTCTCTTCCACCTCCATTTCCTCCTCCTCCGCCTGTGTGGAGGATGGAGGGGGAGTGGTGGTGGGAATCGCTTCCTTTGCGGGAGTAGTGATGGTGGTTTCTGTTCCTTTCCATTTTCCTTCTCCCTTTTTCCCTCTTCTTCCTTGTCGTTGGGGGGGGGCTGGAGGGTCCTGAGGCTTCGGTGCGGATGCCTCTTGCCTCTCTACTGCCCCTCCCACGACTTTCCTCCTTCCCTTGGGTGGTCGGCAAGCTGGTCCGCCCATTCTATGTCCTGCTGAAACTCCTGCATCTGTACATATTTGGCATCTGGCTTTTGATTCGCAATCTCTTGCCAAGTGCCCTTGTTCTCCGCATCTGTAACAATTTGATCTTCTATCAACATTGTTTTTACAATTTTGCTGCACATGCCTTTGCTCTAGGCATCTGAAGCATTGCAAGGGCCTAGCTTGCAGCATATCTACCTTCGCCTGTGTCCAGCCTATTCTGATGCTTCCCTTTTCCGCGATCATTTTTGCTACCAATATAGGGCACTGGATCCAGAGCGACCTTACTTCGTTTAGGGTTACTCTTATCTTTCCCGTTTTGATGTCCGTTATCTCACATCCACCTATTTTGGTCACTTCTGCAGCTTCTTTTTCCGTGGTGGATATTTCGAGACCCCTTATCCTCAATTCCCCCATTTTCTGGGGTCTGCTGATCTTTGCTCTATCAGATAGCACCTCTCTCAATTTGTCTGCTAGAAGATCTGCTCTTTTCCCTCTTTCCTCACCCGGAGTTTCCAAAACTAACGCTCCGGTAACCCCGACCCTGGTTTTAAACTCTTCTATCCCTATTCCAGTCAAGTCTATTTTTTTCTTAGCCTCAGCCAGCAACTCCTTGTATTGGTTTTTGTCTGTTATTATAGTGACCGCCGCTGTGCTAGGGACCTTCCTCTTAATCTTTTTCCCTTCCGCCTTTCTCTTGCTTCCTTCCCTCTTTGTCCTTTCCATTTCCTTTCTTTGTTCTCCTTTACTTACCTCTCTCTTTTCTCTTCTTCCTACTAACTTCAACCATGGTTCTTCATATATTATCAGAGCAGGTATTTCCTCCTTAAATGTTGTTTGTCTTTCTTTTCCAGAGTTCCGGACCTGAGGCTGTCTATTATCCGTTTCTTTCTGAACCTGGGTCTTCGACTGACCTCCTCCCGATACTTTTTTGATTTCTTTTTCTTTATTTCCCCCTTTGTTTTTAGTTTTCCCTTCCATTTTTTGTTGGGGGGTTTCTCTTTCCCTTTCATTACTACTTTGCGGTGCCCAAGTTCCTAACACCTTAAGTACCACCCTTTTCACTTTTTCTTCCAGATCTTCCTCCTTATCTTTTGTTGTTTCTTCCATTTTTTCCACCCTTATCCTCTTTCTAAGTGGAACATTTTCTTTGATCACCGGTCCCTTTCTTTCGGTCTTGGCGACCCTGGTTTCCTCATTTCCCTTTCTATTTTCCCTCACCGGGTTTACCATTCCTTTTGGGATGAGGCCTTTCTGCACCTCAATAATCCCGATGGGTTCTTCCTCTTCCTCTTCCATCATATCCGCTATTGGAGGAGTAATCCTTCCCCCTTCCGTTTCTTCCCTTTTCCCTTTCATACAGGCCGGTGCGAGGGGGCACCCGACATCAGCTGCGGTGCCCCCTTTATACTCCCGCCTGTATTTCCTTCTTGTTTCGGAGGAAGGGGGGATAATGCCACAAGAGGCGTTATCTCCCTTATACTCCAGAGCGTCCCTTTTATTTTCTCTAGTTCTTTTTTGACGTTTTTTAGGGATTCCTTAAAACTGGCATTTTCTATCCTGAGTTCCTCAATCATATTCAGGTTCTCCCCGCTTTTATCATTGGAGATATGTTTTGCCATCATATTTGTTCCCGCAGCTATTGCAGCTGCAGCATCCCACAGGACTTTAGCATGTATTCCCTTAAGTTTTTTTGATTTTACCGGAAAACCCTATACTTTTATTGACGCCTCTAATACGGAGGACGTCAGTTCCCTGAATGGGGCTTCCTCCATGTGCTCCATGAGTCTTAACTTCCGCTTTGTATTTTCTATTTTTTGAGCAGTCTTGAAACTCCTCTAGCGGATTTTCCATTCCTTTGAGGTCTTCCTCCCTCCTTTGGTTTAACAATTCCTGTTTTTTCGCCATGAAAATTTTCTTTTTATGATATTCTCCCGTTGTTGTCGGCCTTCCTCTTCCTCTCAAGGCTTTTTCCGCGAAACGTTCCTCGTCCGTATCTCCATCTGTATTATGTGGAATATCATATTTCCCTTCCATGGTTACTTCCTCCTCTACCAACTCCTCTTCTAGTGAGCTGGAGTCAGACTCTGATCCAACGACATCAATATCATTACGGGATCTGGATCTGTTACTGTCCCTCTTTGTGTCCCTTATTGCTTCTAGAGATCTGGAACTCCTCAGTCCCTTCCTCCTTGCCACCTGCTCAGGATGGTCTTTTGGGGTGACAGTCGCTGGTGCCCTCCTACGAGAGCGGTGAGCTGTCATGTCTATTTCATTTGCCAGGGTCGTCTTACGCTGTTCCGTATCCGTTAGGTCAATAGAAATTAAAGAGTCTGTCATTTTGGTTTCTAACCCAGAATTCTGCACGGCTCCCGTGCCCGGGCATGCCCGCATCCCCCCGAAAAGGGGGTGCCTCCGAGTTCCCCCAGAGGAGCACCATATGGCATGGGCCGACGGAATGTACCATCGTCGGCACAGGCCTCCCGCCCCCTACACGCGCCCTGACCACCATTTCTGGTGGCCAGACCGCTTTCGGGGGTCCCACACCTCCGACAATGTGGGCACCGTGCAGAGCGCCGCCACGCGGGGGACCCCATGGAAGGAGGTAGTTCACCGGTGCCGCACCCCACCGGGAACGCCTCCCCCATGGCAGCCAGCGTACTCCCGCCGCCCGAGGGTCCGCTTTAGGGTGATGCGATCGCATTCCCTCGGGCACAGCACACAGGGGCTCCGGCCCCGGCTCGGAATATGTCCGAGCGGCCCGGAGCACCCCTCCATTCCCCAGGTACCGTGAGGGGTTCCAAACCCTCACGGTGTGCAGATCTGGGTGTGGGTACCTCTCTCCGCCTGGCCGTGGCCAGGACGGATGAGGGAGAGGATCATTCCCTTTGGCCGCCGGAGCACCGGCGTGCAATGCCTCCGGGGATGATTCCTCTAGATGACCTCGACCCCGATCTCGGAATATATCCGAGCGGCCCGAGACACCCCCCCACCCCCTGGGTACCATGGGGTAAGCCCCATGGTGTGCAGACCCGGGTGTGGGTTCCTCTGTCCGTTCGACCGAGGCCGAACGGGTGATGGAAGTCGGGGAGTCCACCTTCGATGAAGGTGGGGTCCTCTCCCCTCATCACCCTAGGGTGCCCCGACCCTGACCTCGGAATAAGTCCGAGCGGCCCGGGACACCCCTCCACCCCCGGGTACCATGGGAATAGTCCCATGGTGTGCAGACTCGGATGTGGGATCCTCCATTCGCCCAGCCGTGGCTGGGACGAATGAGGGAGAGAGGTCCTCCCCTCTTCGGCTGCCGGAGCAACGGCGTGCAATGCCTCAGAGGATGGGATCCCTCAGGACGCGATAGGGTAACCCGACCCCGACCTCGGAAAGCCCGTCCGAGCGGCCCGGAGTATCCCTCCGCATCTCAGGCACCATGGGGGGAGGTTCCCCATGGGGTGGAGCCCTGGATGCGGGAACATCCCTCCACCCCGGTCTAACCATAACGGTCCAACCGAGGCAGGAGGAAATGGTTCTCTCTCTTCGGCTACCGGAGCACCGGCGTGCAATGCCTCGGAGAGAGAAGTCCCCTTCCTAGAGCGAGTGTAGGGGAGGTCATCCCTGTCGGCTGCCGTAGCACCGGCGTGCAATGCCTTCTGGGATGGTGATCTCCTCCCACCCGCTCTGTGACCATACTGGTCATGGACCAGGCTAGTCACTCAGCCCGATCGGGTGCTCTTGGTCCAGTCCCTCCGTACAGACCACTCCGGCATGGTAGAACCTGCCAGGGGCCGAAACCCCCGCCGGTACAGCTCTGTACATCATTGGGACCTTCAAGCCTCCCCACCACGTCAAGGTGGCACCCACGGGGAGGCATCATGGATACCCTGACCCTCGGGGAAGGGCCAGGGTTATGCCGGACTGCTACCGGCTAAAACCTCCACGGGTGGCGCTGCGAAGGGACTTGGATCGGGGCCCCAGAGTCTACGTAACTGCTGATCGGGATCCCGAGTCCAGATATCGACCATCGTCGATCCCCGAAGGGGGGAGGGAGGGGTGAAGCGAGCCAAGGTTCCTCTTCGACCACCGCTCAAGGGGGAGGGGGGAAGCCAGCCAGAGGCTCGCTTCGACCACCGCTCCCCTTTCCCACCCCTCGCACCCCGCCTCTTAGACTGGGAAGAGGGAAGCCGGCGACGCCTGCGCTTCGACCTCCGTTCGCAGCCAGGTGGGGCGCTGCCATTACATGATGTGCGGCCAACTGATCCACCTTCTCATCCGGCCGCCCTACGTTTGGAGGGTTTGTTGGGGCACCGGGAGTCCCCGCCCGATGTCTCATCCTTCCGCCCGGCGGTTACGGGGGGAAACAATCCCTTGACCGCTGGACGCTCTCTCCCTTGTGGGAAGAGGGGAGGAAGGGTGTTTACCATCCCCCCTTCCTTCACATCAGATTAATTAATGGGGGGAGAGGTGCTGACTGACCGTGACAACGCCACAGTCGCATCCTCTCCCCCCTTATCCTCATCCTACTCCCGTTTGAGGGGGAGTAGGTGACTGACGGAGAAAGGGAGGAGGGTCACTTCCCACCGCCATCCTCCTCCTCGTTCTTCCTGCCACCGTCTGTGTGGCCGGCAGTGTCGCCGTCGCTGCTTTCCTTCCCCTGGCCGGTTGCCTGTTACCCGTCGTTACAGCTGGCGTACGTCTGGGTGCCGTCAGTCGAGCGTCCCGGCATCTCGCTTGCGCCCTTCCTGAGGGAGGTCTCCCTTTTGGACAGGGAGGTGCAGGCTGAGGCGGTGGAGGGGATGGTGGTCGCACCATCCTCCGTAGTTCCTCCTCCTCGGAGGAGTCGGCGTCCCCCTCCTTGCTCCTACTCCTCCCCGCTCTCCATAGGCAGTGGGATTCCCTCCGCCTCCGCCTTCTTCCCCGCCCTTCCGCCTCTCTGCGGATTGCCTCCGCGGCCTCCTGCGAGAGGACCGCCTCGCAGAAGGAGGTAAACACCCCACTTCTTCTCACTCCCCACAATTGCCCCGATCGTGGGGAGTGAGAGATCGCGTCCAAATTCCCGCATCACGACTCCGCGCTCAGCGCTCCAGGCAGGGCAGTCCTGGAGCGTGTGCTGCGCGGAGTCGTGATCGTGATTGCAGTGATGGCACTGCGTCGTGCGCTCCTTTCCTATTCGGCACAGGTACTCACCGAAGCATCCATGCCCGGTGAGCACCTGTGCCATCTTAAAAGTCAGGGTCCTATGTGCCCTGCCCACCCAGTCCGGTAGACAGGGCTGGACAGCATCGACGGTCCTCTTCCCATATCTGGCATTTGCCAGCATCCTCTGCCATCTGTGGAGGAGGACCTGCCGAGCCTGGTGCTTCATTTCCCGCACAGCTTCGGCGAGCGCGATGTCTGTCCCCCTGCTCGATGAGATCCCGCTTCCTGATGTATGTTCTCCTGTACATCAGGGTTAGGAGCTCGATGGGGACATGCTCGCCAGAGCTGTCGCTCCCACGTGGGATACAATCCGGTAGCAGCGGGCCACCCTGATCGCCAGCGCCCTGTGCACCCTGCGCAGGATTGCTTGCATCGGGCGACTGACGGCCAGGGCTTCCGCCCAAATCGGTGGCCCGTACAGGGCCACCGAATTTAGTATCCCCGCGTTGAGGAGACGTGCCTTCCCGTTTGGTCCCCCGATCCTGGGCATAAGCCTACCAACGTTGGCTGAGATCGCTCTCAGCCGGGGAACCAGACGATTGAAGTGCTCCCTGAAGCACCAGGTGCCGTCCAATGTGAGGCCCAGATATCTCATCTGGGCTTCTATTGGGACCCTAACTCTTCCTACCCGGATCTAGGCCTGGGGTGGCTTCATTCTTCTTCTATGGAGGAACATGGCCTCTGTTTTTCTTTCTGCCACCACCAGACCCAGATTGCGAATGTAGCGCACGACGAATGCCACCGCCAAATTGGCCGTTTTCACGGCCTCCCCCCAGTCTATACCCCCGGCTAAGATGAGCGTGTCATCCGCGTAACAAATAATGCTACGCCGGGGGGAGGGCAATTTGGAGGACTGAGTTATAGCCGGGGTTCCACAGGAGGGGGCCCAGAACGGACCCCTGTGGAACCCCGTAACTCATCCCCCTCTCGCATATCTTGCCGTCGGCGTCCCTCCAGGTTAGACGCCGACCCCGGAAGTAATCCTCGATGACGGCCGTGAGGTAGGGTGGGGAGCCAAAGTAGCCACGCATGGCCTCCTACCTCAGGGCAGGGTGTTGAATGCGTTGGCGATGTCAACAGACATCGCCACCGTCACCCTGCCCTCCTACACGATGGCCTCCGAGAGGGACCGCAGATGCTGAATTGCATCCACGGTTGAACGTCTCTCTCGGAAGCCGTATTGGCCGCCATCGAGGTCAACACCTTCCCGGGACATATGCTCAACGAGACGGGCAGCTATAACGCGCTCAAAGAGCTTGCCCGCCTCGTCCGTGTGGTATATGGGCCGGTATGCGGAGGGGGTGTCCTCCGGTTTGCCCTCTTTACGGAGGAGGACCACATTGGCCCTCCCCCGGACTGGAGGGAATTTGCCTTCCCTCAACGCCTGCGAAAACATTTTCGCAAGTCTTCCGCTAATATAGCCCGAGGCCAGGGTGAGGACTCGGCCGGGGATATCATCAGTCCCAGGAGCCTTCTGGTACTTGACCTTTTTGATGGCCCCGGCCACCTCCTCCTCTGTGACTCCCGGTACCCTCCCTTGTTGTTCAAGGGTAGGGGCTATATACGGGTCAATGGGGTTTCCCTCCCCAACCGAGAAGAGGGTCCCCATGACCCGCTCTAGGAACCGGGGGTCTAGCGTTTCCGTCAATGGGGGCGCCCATGGTTTCAGCTTCTGCATCACCATATTATAGGGGCATCCTCATGGATCCGCGTCCAACGACAGAAGAAGGGTGTCCCACCCTTTGCTTCTGACCGTCCCGATGGCGTCTCTCAGTGCCGCCGCTGCCTGCAGTCCGGCGGCCAGAGTGGCCTCGGGGTCTGACTTAGGATCGTTCCTGATCCTCCGGAAGGTCCGCCTGAGGCGGACCGACCTTCGCCTGAGCTCAGCGATGTGGTCGATCCACCACCAGGCGGACCTTTTTGGGCAGGAACGGACTCTGGGCATAGACTCATCGCACGCTTTCGCGGTTATGTCGACGATATCCTTGACCCCAGAGTCCAGGTCCTGCCCCTCCATACGTTGTGGCCAGGTGGCTACTTCTAGGGCCTCCCTGTCCAACTGCTTCAGGGCCCAGCGCCTCGGTCGGGGTGCTTTGTTCCGCTGGGGTCGCAGGCCACTGGGGGTGACGGACAGCTCCATCTCTATAATGCGATGGTCCAATAAAGCCTCTAGTTCGTCCGCCACCCTCCATGTCTGCACCCGCCTCAGGGCCGCAGGGGTAGCCCAGGAGAGATCGATGATTGACTCCCCCTGCGACCCCACGAAGATTGATATTTTCCCTTATTGAGCAGATGCAGACCTAGCCCCGCGGCCCAGTCTTCTACCTCCTCCCCTCGCCTGTCATCCCGCCTGGAACCCCACAACGCGGACTTCGCGTTGAAGTCCCCGGCGACGATGACAGGCCCAGGGAGGTACCGTGATACGGCCGTCCCTATTTCTCGGAGCCTGGACCTGAAACTTATCAAATCCAGGCTCTTGGTTGGGGGGAGGTACACCCCGACCACTGTAAGGGCTCCCCATCTGGCCACAACGTATCGTACCTAACTTGGTGGCGGGAGGCGAGTTTTCGCCCGCCTTCCATACCAGCGCTACGGAACCTACCTCATCCCCGCACCACCTATCGTGATTTTTGGGGATTCGGTACGGCTCCGCAATAATTCCAAGGCCTGCACCGCGCTCGGACATTGTGTGCTAAAAGAGCGGGATCGCTTGTCGGGCGCGGTGCAGGTTGGCCTAGAGGAGCTTAGTCGCCATTTTCGTCTTGTATGACGAACTTATCCGCTGGCTCCTCCGTTTCATCGCTCTCGCCATCTTCTCTCGGCCTGGGTCTCTTCTCTGTCCTCCTTTCTACTTCCATATCCTCATATTTTTACCCCTGTGTTTCTGGGGTGGAAGTTTCCTCTATAGGAGGAGAAGGAGAAGGGGGAGGAGGGCGACGAAAGCCCCTCCCCTTCTCCGTCCTCTCTCTCCTTCCAGGGGGGCTGAAGGTGTTGGGGGCGTCGGTGTGGTTGCCTCCCCACTCTTCTGCCCCTCACTGTTTTCTTCCTTCTAGGCGGGCGGCAGGCCGGCTCACCCATTTTGTGTCCAGCCGGCCGCCCTGCGTCCATACATATCTGGCACCTGACCCTTTCGAAGCAATCTCGGGCCAGGTGTCCAGGTTCCCCGCATCTGTAGCAGTTGCCACTTCTGTCTATACTGCTCTTGCAGTTCTGCCGGACGTGACCTCTTTCCAAACATTTAAAACATTGCAGAGGCCTAGTTTCCAGCAGTTCTGCCCTGACCTGGGTCCAGCCCATGAGCAGTGTCCCCTTCTCCGCAACCTCTTTTGCCAGGGGACACTGTAGCCACAGGACCTGGACCCAGCGTGTGTGGTTCTGATCATTCCGGTTTGCACCTAGGATACCCCACATCCCCCATATTTCGCAACGCATCCCGCCGCTTCCTTCTCCATTGTGGAGATCTCCATTCCCCTTATTCTTATTTCCCCAGTTTTCTGGGGACGGTTGATTATTGCTCTGTCCACCAGGACCTTCCTCAATTTTCCTGCCAGGAGGTCCGCTTGCTTGTTCCTGTCCTCCCCGAGATTTCAAAAATCAGGGCCCCCGTGGCACCCTGTCTTGTCCTTATTACCGTTATCCCAAGGTTGTCGATGTTGATCTTCTTTTTCGCTTCTATCAACAGCTCTTTGTACTGTCCCTTTCCTGCCGTGATGGATATTGCCGCGGTGTTCGGGGCTACCTGTTGCGGTATCCCCCTTCGCCTCCGGTGCATGAGAAAGGAGTGCAACCGAGTATAAAGGAGGCAACGCCAAGAAGAACGGTATCCTCCTCGCCTCGGGTGCAACAAGGAAACACAAACGCAGTTTAAAGGGCGCCGCCGCCAGTAGCGATGACCCCCTCGCCTGAAGTGTATGTAAGTGAGGAGGATAGGAAGGAAAGGGAACATGGGAAGGAGGTCATGCCCCCATATGCTGACACAGATGAGGAGGAACCCATGTTAGTGGGGGCGATCGAGGTCCAATCCGGATTGATAAGGCCGGGTAAGGTTCATCTCACCAGGGAGGAATATTGTATGGGAGGAAAAAACCACGAGGGCCCAAAGATAAGGGAAGATATTCCCTTCAATGCCATGGTCAGACTAGAAAGAGAGGTACCATAGGGAAGGATGGAGGAAAAGGAGGAGTGGTAAAGGGAAACATCAAGACCAAGAACCCAAAACTAAAGGAAAGAAAGGAGGGAAAAAGGTGATAAAGGGATATCGGATAAACAAATGGTAAAGTAAGATCCAAGACCACAACAACAACAGCAGACTCGAACCCTACCCCTATAGAAGGAGGATTACCCACCCCTGCCACAGAGGCAGGAAAGAGTCAAGTCTGGACCTGAATAGACTTGGGCTACAGTGGTGGACGCAAAGAGAGAGAAGGCAGCCCCCGACGAAACCCACTGTGAAAGACATGGAGAAGAAGGTAAGGCGGAGAGT